TTCTATTTCTGATGACCTATTAAAATCTGCAAGTAATTCTTTATATAGATAAGGGTTTTTTCCACGACTTCTAAATACAAATGTATTATTTGATTCAATTTCTGATGCTTTATTTAAATCTGATTCTTCATTTTCTTCATATTTCAATGATTTATTTAATGATTTGATACTAATGTCATGGCCAATTGAATTCCAGAATGAATTTTCACATTCTAAGCATTCGTATTCTGATATATCAAGAATATACCATTTTAAAAGATACTCAAAAGGCACTGAGTCTTGTTTATCTTTCAATAAAGGCTCAATATCTTCAAATTTACGATTAATAAGTGTAAAGTTGACTTGCTGTAATGTACTTTATAAAATTAAGATAAAAATAATTATTATAATTAAATACATACAGTAAACAAACATAGAACAAATGTTTTAATTACCTGTAATTTATAATTACGTCAATTATAGGTTCAAAGTTTGTGGATGGAAATTCAAATATGATTACAAAAATTGAGTTTTGTGATATTGATTTAGTTGTATTAACTGTATCAGAGACACTCTTTTGACTCATTTTAATTTTTATGTTGCCGGAAGCCAATTTAATATTGCTTAATTTATAATTAAAGTAATCAAGATTTAATGGAACTCCAATCAACGCCCAACAAATTTTCAATTCACTGTAAATAAAAGATAAGGGCATAAATATGAATAAGCTTTAAAGTACACTCACTCTTGAAATAAAATAAATTTACCTATTAATTGCATCGTTTAAATCTTTATGTTCTTCAATAATAGCAAAAAAACCGTAACAATCCATCAGTCGAAATTTAACAGTTAGATTGGTTTTTTTGTAATCGTCTGTGACAATAGATCCAATAATTTGATATTTGTTGCTTCGTAAAGGTGTGTCAAACTTGATTCTATGATATTTAATTTCGTTTTTTATCATTTCTTCACCAGTCATTAAAACCCGCCCTTCGTTTTTTGTTAATTCACTAATTTGTTCTTGAATATTCGAATCAAGAAGTTCCCATATTGGTATTAACTTTGATCGATTCACAACATACCAGGTTTCAGGATAATTAGTTTCATTTAACCATTTTTCAATGCTGTCAGGTTTAACAATAGAACGATCACCTGAAAATGCGTTTACATTAAATTCTGACTGAAACTTTTTCCATGTTCCTATCAAGTAGTCCAGTTCTTTTGATGCCTTGGACTGCTGAAAATTTATAAACACATCTTTTGGTAATTCAGAATAAGAATAACACATTGATTCTAGACATTTACCAAATATATAATTTTTGCAAAAATAATGACCATATTTATTAAAAATATCTGTTAATCCTGTGTATGGTTTGTTGCTTCCTAATGCTTTTTCAATCTCGTTCTTAAACTGATTCGAAGCTTTAATCTTACTTTTTTCTGTGTGAATTTTAATTTTCAATTTTTCTTGAATAATGTTACACGCAATAGTATCTACTTTCGTATCGAATACGTCTAATAAAACGAACGGATTAATTTGAAAGACATGCTTTTCATTAATGTCTATTCTATTCATGCTCATTAATAGATCTATTTGATTTTCTATATGAAATATTTTCAATGACGTTGATTCACTAAAGTTAAATTCAGGTTCACACAAAAACTCTATAGCCTTTTCCTTGCTATATGTTAGTCCGTCTTGGGTTACTAAAAGACCATTCCCCATTTGATATTTTTCTATCCAATTTGGTAAATTTATGGTTATATTATTTATCATCCAACCATTTATATCTTGTTCTTGATGAAAACTTGTAATTCCAGGAACAAGCCTTGTACTAATACTTGCTGACCATTCTGTAGGTATTTTATCTGAAGCTAGCAATTGTTTATCAAGTTTTGTGAAAGCTGGAATGACTTTTTCATAAGCAATCACGGAGAATTTTTCATATGAAAATAGTTGATTCACATAATCATCCTAAATTATGAATTTAAAAATACTGTTTTTGATAAACTTCCAGGAAGTTAAAAAAAAACAAAAAACTTATTTACCAATTGTTTTTTATCGAGAAGATTATCATCTAGGTCGTATAACTCGAAAAAACTTATAGAGTTTTTTTCAAATGGCTTCTTGAATTTATGCTTACGGCTTATTTCATCAATAGT